TCGTGATTTTGACTTTTATCTTGTAATTTCGACTTTTATTTCGTAATTTCACTTTTATCTCGTGCTTTTGACTTATCTCTTAATTTCAATTTCCATTTCGTAATTTCGACTTTCATCTCGTAATTTTGACTTGAATGTCATAATTTTCACTCAAAAGTAGAAATATAGTTTCTTTAGCGCATTGTATATTGTTACGTTTTTCTCCGTGGGGTTGACCAATAATTGACTACACTGAATAATCAAACTTAACTTTCTTTCGCTTCAAATACAACAAACACTCCAACTGTTATTTAAAAGTAGAAATATAGTTTCTTTAGCGCATTGTATATTGTTACATTTTTCCCTGGGGGTTGACCAATAATTGACTACACTGAATAATCAAACTTAACTTTCTTTCGCTTCAAATACAACAAACACTCCAACTGTTATTTGAATGTCTATCGCCTTACTAGATCACTTCGCGTATCGCACTGTAACGTCCACTTCACTGTGTCGATATGCTCGCGGCTAGCGTTTAAATGTCGTAATCGAATGCAGTAGAAATGTCGCCGAAATTCCGTCAAAATCGGTAGCATTATTCTCGCTGCTTCTAGAGTGGTAGGGAACATCGTACATTCGCGCGCTCTTAGCTACGTCACCATTGATTTATGACTAGCAGTTGCGGCCGGCGTTATTTTCTTTCGGACATGATTTACAACAATGTACATTTTTAGGAGAATTTTTTTTTTTTTAGAAAAAGGTTTTGGCTCTTTACCTCTCCACCAACAAAAAAATGTGAGAAACTGCCAAAGAGAGAAAGCAATCAATTTCAAAGCATGTAGGTCATGCGAAGAAGTAACTTTCAGACACAAACTGGAAAAAAACCCTCTGGAAACAACTACTATCATATGAACATTGAATTACACGAAAGGAAAATACTTTCGAAACAAATACTTTTATATGAACATTAAATTATAAAAAAAAGAATTTTTCCTATTCAGTTTGTATTCCAAACATTCATTATGGGATTGACTCAAATATCATCCATAGGATTACTACACAATATAGTATATGATACAAGTAAAAACGTCACTTATATGGATCACTGTCATCCTCGACATCCGATGTTTCGGAATTAGACACTTGTTTTATTGCCTCTTCAGCACCAATCTGGATAACATTACGAGATAAAGCACCCAATTCATTCGTAAAATTACTTTATGTCACGAATGAGTTGAGTCTACTGATGTCATCGAAACATCGGATGTCCACCATTCCACCGATCGACTTGAGACGGAAGGTTATAGAGAGCTAAAGGATGGACTGAACGATGGTAAAAAATATTATCAGTACCCTTACGAAATATTTTAATCTAGTATCGCTATTATCATTACTCATTTTAAAGTTCTCTGAATTTCAAATTATTGAATTCACTTACCAGTGCTTTGGTATAGAAGTCTCCGTGAACTAGCTAGTTTTTGAGTTGTATTGTCTCTGCATAAGAGGGTGCGGGGGGTATCTGAAAGATTTCGTAAACATTATTTTTCGTTGGTTATTATGTTTTCGTTGCTACTTCAATTAAAATCAAATAATTGATTAATATCGATACAATCATTAATGCAATCTACTTCTCAAACAAGAAAGTGTTTAATCTTTTAATAAGAGGTTTTCGATGTTGGTAACGAATAAAATTAAAGTTTATAACATTCTTGTAATTCATTTATAGCAGTGGGTAGTCAGACAGTGTACAATTATGTAAAATACAGTACATATTTGTGGAGCCACGTCAAGAATTATTCGTGTGATTTCTTGTTTCAATTGTTGAATGGTTGAGGGATTGTTTTCGTAAGCTTTGCTTTTCACATAGTTTCAGAAAAAATAATGTAGATGGCAAAGCCATAAAGATAATAAAAGATGTAAAAGATAACAAAGAACTACAACTTTTGTATTTACAATTTTTTCACATAATCTCAAAATTTATATGAAAAATTCAAATAACTAAGTTTTTGGTTTTTTATTTTTATCTTTTTCAAGACATTTTTTTTCACGAAATTTGGTGAAAAGTCACCATTTATGTTCCAAATATACAGTAATTTATTTGATTCAACCCTATTTTGTCNAAATCTGTTTAAAAAAATCTGTTTACAATCTGTTTTTCCGTTAACCAGCTGTCGCACCCCTACGAACAACAACCCTCAGAAGTCGAAACTTGTGCGAGCTAAGGATTAACGAGGTCTTACCTTTTAACGTGTGATTCCTAACACGGTCACCGTATTACTGTTAATTCTGGAAAAAAGGCAAACTTCGGATGCGTTGAATTTTTAGAGGATGTTCTTTATGATAGAATACATATCCTTGATGGATACTGAAAATTCAACCGGTTGCAATTTTACCAGCAAGAAAGTCTTGTACCAAAAATCTATAAGAGGAGTAGAATTGAAGGTGACAATAGAGCTTAAACTAATCTTTACTGAGAAATGGCAGCTAGTTGTTATGAAAACAGTTGCGGATCACTTGAAAATGTTGAATTGAACTCACCAGCATCCAAACCATTTCTTCGACAACCGCAGTAGAAATCTGAAAATAAAGTTGTTGATGAAGAATATTGAAAACGTACCATTAGAAAAAATATTTTGTGCTCAGTGAGATTTTTGTCATTCAATATAACAGAAGTGAAAATAATAAATTAGAAGTATTTAATCATGTTCATCATACAAAATGTAATAAAGTATCCTATAATCTTTTGATAATGTTTCAATAACTATACTTTCGTCACTATTACAAAAAATGTAATATTTTTTAATACGTAAGGCGGGGTAAGTGTATGAGTTGGTAAAAAATTTGGCTTTCGAACTATAAAGCATTAATAAACTCTATGGAAGGTTGCAAGGTTAATGATCGCAAAAGTGGATAAACCTGGGAATCATTGTCCAAGTTAGAAATTTCAAAATGTTGAATGATTGTTGGAACTTGTTTTTTCTGCACATGCAGCGGTGAAAGTAAATAAGACAAATTGAACAAACATTTTACTTTTGTCAAGGCATAACATACTTGATCATAATGCTTATGCTAATAATTTTCAAGGTTAGGAAAGAAACAGCTATACAATTAAGAACAGGGACCCCAGAGGTATCCAGTGCAGAAATTGATATTAATCTAGCATTAACCATTTTGAGATCTTGCAAACCATACCAAGCAATTGCCCCATCTTGACGTATACTAGCTGTGAGAAATGTATGTAATAGGAAGATGAATAAAAAAATTGACAGTGATTGGTACTCCAAAAATCGATATCAACCCATACAGAAATTTTAGTGTTTAGATGAAACAATTACAACTATGGATAGAAGATGAATATTTTTTTATCAATTCAAATAGTAACATGAAATAATAATATTCACATCGGCTTTTGAAATACCAACTTGAAATTCGCTATTAACGTAAATTACCTTGATTCTGTTGACTCCGTGCTAAAAGACTGCTAGAGAAGTTCGGATTTCCTGTATCAAATGAATAGTTAATTATTTTATAGAATAAGGAGTGATTCATGGTTTTGCCTCAATGCCTCTTCATTCGAATTTGTGCATATCATAAGAAATAACTGAGAGTAGAGTCTAGATGATGACATAAAGTTTTACATACAAAAAAAAATATTTCCAAACGCCTTTTTCTTGAAATGGTTGAAATTAGTAAGTCTTCTGATTGTATGAATAAGAAAACTGACATTGATAATCTCAGCAGTATATTCAGTAAGTTATTGGATCTACATCAAAAATATAATAATAATGAAAATTGTATCAATCAATAACTCTTTCTTTAGAGTCAAATATTATGAAATCATCCTACCCATTGAAAAATTACATTTATGTGAAGGTATGACATTTGTCAAACCCAAAAAAAATCCTATACATGTTAACTTTTTTCGTCAATTTATATGTTCAATTATTATTTTTCATAATAAATGAATAAATAATATATATCGTTCTTACCAGATACAACATCTCTATTATTTCTCATACTCTGAGTAGACATTGGTCCTGGTTCACCTAAAATATAATTTTCAGAAGTTCATTCAGGTTAATAATTCAGCAAAGTGAAATTTTGCATAACATTAAAATGAACACTTGAATTTCACTTGTTCGAGAAAACCTATATTGAACAGGAAAAGGGGACATTGAGGTTGGACTATTTATATAAACCGTACTTATATTTTATAGTTCTCACCATACATCTCCCTATTTGCTTTTAAACTTAGACTGGATATTGGTACTGGTTCACCTGAAAAATAATTTTCACTTTTCAGTCATGCAAAGGAGAGACAAAGGGTGATATTTCTGTGATACAGTGTGTAAATGTACTAAGTTACATAGGAACATAGGAATGTAGGCTTTCACGGTTCAATGTTTTGGTTGGTTTCCAGGCTTTACCATGGTCTTCTCATAATCTTCAAACGTTTCAACTGCAACTGCGGAATGACTGCGACAGTTATCTGGGGACTATAACCGAAAAAAAAGCGCGGCAAAACCCGGAAAACAACCAAAACATACTTTGTTATATCTTAGTCTGGGTCACAAGATCCTTTTTTAGGAACTTCTGTCCAACGGCAACTAAATTGTTTATAACTATTGCAATTTTTTCGAGACCCTCTTGAAATTTTTCAAAAACTTACTAGAGGTTATTTCGATTCGAATGAGACCTGGATCATAATTTTTGGTGCACCTGGACAGAAGTTTCTAAAAAAGGATCTTGTGACACAGACTAATCTGACATCAAGTTTTTGTTGGCAGGCCCCAAAAGAATTATCAACTATTTCAATTCCTTATTGAACTGACCCCCTTCAATAGACTTCTAATAATATTTTGAAAGTGTTCAAAAAGAACAAGACGAAAATTTAATTGATGAACTGCTGTGAACCAAAATTGTACGTATTCAAGAAACACTTCATTGTGAGATTTTCACAGTTGTTCACAAAACCTCAACATGCGTGTTCATACATTTGAAAAAAGGCTTGAGGAAGCTACTGGAACACGTATAAATGAGTACGTGGAAGATTGACTGTTACGAAAATTTAGATTTTCTTACTATGTTTATTTGATATTTCACATTAAGAAACTTATGTTCTGCTCCTGATTTGAAGTTTAAAAGTGGTTAATCATAGTCAAATATTGAACAAATGTATGAGGCACTCCATCATGTAATAAATCTGAGGGATTTCTACAAAATGCATTTATTACATTTTGAGAATGTGAAGTTTTTCAAACAATGAAAATCAAATCGCTAGGATTCTTGAAAACATTTTCTGTACCTACACTTTGAATTGAAACATCTCCAATNATCGGGTTCATTTAAAATTTAAAGTTAACTTCTTTAGATTAGTATACGAGTAATCTATACGTTGATGTCATTAAAAATTGAGTTACAAATTAAACATGTTGACTTCTAAATGACTTTGAAATTTACTTTACTGCGTTGAAAAATCTTAAGGTTTTTTTTCAATTTGAAGAAAAGAGTTGGGTATTAGGATCTTGAATATCTGTAAAGTAACAATACAATTTTGTGCACCGCTAAACATAGGTTCTCCAAAATTTGATAAAAAGTTCGAAATTTTATGAAACCTGGAAAACAATTAACTACACTAAAACAAATTAATCACCAATAATTTTGAAAACAAATATACTGTTTTTTATGACAACTTACGTGATCCACATGATTGATCTCTGACGGTTGGGGTTCTCTGCAGCGACCCTGGAACGAATAGGGATAAATAAATAAGGCACGAAAATAACTCTTAGACAATGGCTTCAATAATTTCATAATGTGAGAAAATAATATGCGAACGAAGTCAATTATTTTCCGAAAGTAAAAACATTCTGAACATTATTGGGATAAAGAGAAAAAGCCCCCCTTTCTATTTAACAAAATATGGCAGATGCTACAATATTCTTTCTCTGACGTTAAATTTGTTCGACCTTATATCTTGTCGGATTCGAAATTTTTGTCATACACCGTAATAAACAGGGGGTTTATTGTACATGCGGCAAAAATTTGAGGGACTATTCTTTGGACTATTCTAAAGATAGTTTGTCCCTTGATGATTTTTGATATGGTGCTTTGTTTCGAAGATACGGAGCGAAAAATAATTTCGACAATAACAATTTATTACCAAAAATTACATGTAATGTTTCTTAATCTACAAGAACTGTTGAAAATGACTACCTCCCGCTCGGATGCAAGAATCCAATCTTCTCCTCATCGACTCCCTTTCAAAAATACCGGGATCGATTCTGATTTCGTTACACCCAGCAATCATCCAATTTCTCAAATCTTCCACTGGAGTAGTATAAACTAATGACTTTGGATTTTTCATGACTTGGTAGGTCCAGTCTAGTACGCTATAGTTTTATTTCGGCTACGTTAATCATTTTAAAATTACCAAAATTGTTATTGTCGAAATTCTCTTTCGCCACGAATCTTCCAAACAAAGCGCCGGCGCCGTATCAAAAATCATCAAAAGGAATAGTCCCTTAATTTTTTGCCCTGTATGATTCATAGGATTTTGAAGTTTCTTTTGAAAAATCACATTATAGTTAATTTTTAGGAGGTTTGACAAATCCGTTTAAAATCTGTTTTTCCGTTAACCAGCTGAAAATAATAAATGCAATAATGAATCGCTCGAAATGATCAATTCCAATGGCATGGTAGTTTTTCACGACCGCGAAAATACCAAATATATAGGTATTAAATTGAAAGGGTACGGAAGCGTAGAAGGGCCAAAAAGTACGTGTTTAATAGGGGAGCCCAAGCGGGGATTTCGTGATTCACTAAAGCGCGGCAGATTAATATTCAGGGGGAAACCTTGTACCCAAGGTATCCCCCTGTATATGAGCCCCATATATAAGGCCGCCCGTGAAGGATAAAGGATCAGATTAGTAAAAAAAAATTGATCATCAGAAATTCTCGAGGGCGTCAGATTAAGGTAGAGTGAGTTAATTCAGTATTTTTTTACATATTTAAAAATCTATAGCCGCTTCCCCCACCAATGAAAAGGTATATATTATATAACATTTTTTCTTCTTATCATCTAAGCTTTGCAATCTAATATGTCTCTATGACGCTCGAGTAAATCCCCATTTTGCATCGTGGGCTCCCCTACTATTTGAGCCAACTGAATTTCGACTTTGAAGTTTCGACTTTTATCTCCTAATTTCGACTTATATCTCGTAATTTTGACTTTCATCTCATAATTTCGACTTTTATCTCGTAATTTCGACTTTTATATCGTGATTTTGACTTTTATCTTGTAATTTCGACTATTATTTCGTAATTTCACTTTTATCTCGTACATTTGACTTTTAACTCGTAATTTCAATTTTCATTTCGTAATTTCGACTTTCATCTCGTAATTTCGACTTGAAAGTCATAATTTTCACTTAAAAGTAGAAATATAGTTTCTTTAGCGCATTGTATATTGTTACATTTTTCCCTGTGGGTTGACCAATAATTGACTACACTGAATAATCAAACTTAACTTTCTTTCGCTTCAAATACAACGAACACTTCAACTGTTATTTGAATGTCTATCGCCTTACTAGATCACTTCGCGTATCGCACTGTAACGTCCACTTGACTGTGTCGATATGCTCGCGGCTAGCGTTCAAATGTCGTAATCGAATGCAGTAGAAATGTCGCCGAAGTTCCGTCGAAATCGGTAGCATTATTCTCGCTGCTTCTAGAGTGGTAGGGAACATCGTACATTCGCGCGCTCTTAGCTACGTCACCATTGATTCATAACTACCAGTGGCGGCCGGCGTTATTTTCTTTCGGGCATGATTTACAACAATATACTTTTTTAGGAGAAATTATTTTATGTTCCTCTCCATCAACAAAAAAATGTGAGAAACTGCCAAAGAGAGAAAGCAATTAATTTCAAAGCATGTAGGTCATGCAAAGAAGTAACTTTCAGGCACAAACTGGAAGAACAGCCCTCTGGAAACAACTACTATCATATGAACATTGAATTACACGAAAGAAAAATACTTTCGAAACAAATACTTTTATATGAACATTGAATTATATAAAAAAAGAATTTTTCCTGATCATTTTGTATTCCAAACATTCGTTATGGAATTGAATCAAATATCATCCATAGGATTACTACACGATATAGTATATAATACAAGTTAAAACTTCACTTATCACTGTCATCCTCAACATCCGACGTTTCGGAATAAGACACTTGCTTTATTGCCTCTTCAGCACCAATCTGGATAACATTACGAGAAAAAGCACCCAATTCATTCGTAAAATTACGACTTCATGTCACGAATGAGTTTAGTCTACTGATGTCATCAAAACATCGGATGTCGACCATTCCACCGATTGACTTGAGACTGAAGGTTATAGAGAGCTAAAGGATAGGCTGAACGATGGTATAAAAATATTATCAGTACCGCTACAAAAGATTTCAATCTAGCATCACTATTATCATTACTTATTTTAAAGTTCTCTCAATTTGAAATTTTTGAATTCACTTACCAGTGCTTTGGTATAGAAGTCTCCGTGAACTAGCTAGTTTTTGAGTTGTATTGTCTCTGCATGAGAGGGTGCGGGGGGTATCTGAAAGATTTCGTAAATATTATTCTTCGTTGCTTATTATGTCTTCGTTACTTCTTCAATTAAGATCAAATATTGAATAATTGATTAATATCAATACAATCATTAATGCAATCCACTTCTCAAACAAGAAGGTGATGAATCTTCCAATAAGAGATTTTCGATGTTGGTAACGAATAAAATGAAAGTTTTATAACATTCTTGAAATTCATTTATGGCAGTGCGTAGTCAGACAGTGTACAATTATGTGAATAACAGTACATATTTGTGGAGCCACGTCACGAATTATTCGTGTGATTTCTTGTTTCAATTGTTGAATGGTTGAGGGATTGTTTTCGTAAGCTTTGCTTTTCACATAGTTTCAGAAAAAATAATGTAGATGGCAAAGCCATAAAGATAATAAAAGATGTAAAAGATAACAAAGAACTACAACTTTTGTATTTACAATTTTTTCACATAATCTCAAAATTTATGTGAAAATTTCAAATAAC